ATCCGTTCCTGAGAGCTCATCGTAAACCAAAGTTATCGGAAAGCGAATCAATTTTCCCCATAAGAAATAATGGAAATCAAATTAATCCGTGCAAGACACCCAAAAGTATGAAAAAAAAACTTTTACCACATGAAATATTAAGTTTAATGCACACAAACTGAAGAAGACATGCACAGTTTGTAGTATGTACTCTACTAACGTTAGAATACATGACACTTACCTTTAATGAAGATCTGGTGATGATTGATGGGATGGGAGGAGGGGAGAGTGTCGAACCTATTAGGACTTGAGGTAGCAAGTCCTTTTCCGGGGTTACTTCCCTTCTTCTTTTAATGCCACTAGGACCAGCTTGAGAGTCACTGGACTTCTGTCGCACAACACATCTGTCCATAGATGCCTGTACCTCTCGTTCCTGTATGACTTTCCTAAAGTGATTCAAAACAGTGTCATTGTACAGGTTGCCAACACGGCTTGCAGTAGCTGTGTGAGTGGGATTTTCATCCATAAAGGTTTGCATTTCAAGCCACTTTACACACATTTCCCTAATCTTTGAAGTAGGCAACTTCTTCAATTTCTCCATCCCCTCCTCTGAAGCAGTTTCCTCAGGTCTAGCCTCTTGCTGTTGAAGATGATCTAGAAGCTCATCAGTGGTTAGTTTGTCATTGTCCTCCTCCACCAACTCTTCCACATCCTCCCCACTAACCTCCAACCCCAAGGACTTCCCCAATGTCACAATGGATTCCTCAACTGGCATAGGATTCCCAGGGTTAGCTTCAAACCTTTTGAAATCCCTTTTGTGTACACAGTCTGGCCACAGTTTTTTCCAGGCAGAGTTCAAGGTCCTCTTAGTCACTCCCTCCCAAGCCTTACCTATAAGGTTTACACAATTGAGAATATTAAAGTGATCCTTCCAAAACTCCTTTAGAGTCAATAGTGTCTGTGGTCACTACAAAGCACTTTTGAAACATAGCTTTTGTGTACAGTTTCTTGAAGTTTGAAATGACCTGCTGGTCCATGGGCTGCAGGAGAGGAGTGGTATTAGGAGGCAAAAACTTCACCTTAATGAAGCTCATGTCCCCAGAAAGTCGCTCTGCCAAGTCTCTAGGATGACCAGGGGCATTGTCTAATACCAGGAGGCACTTAAGGTCTAATTTCTTTTCAGTTAGGTAAGTTTTCACATTGGGTGCAAATGCATGGTGTAACCAGTCATAGAAAAAGTCCCTAGTGACCCATGCCTTAGTGTTTGTCCTCCACAGCACACACAAATTAGCCTTGAGGATATTCTTTTGCCTGAATGCTCTGGGAGTTTCTGAGTGATACACCAATAAAGGCTTCACTTTGCAATCACCACTAGCATTGGCACACATGAAAAGAGTAAGCCTGTCTTTCATAGGCTTATGTCCTGGGAGTGCCTTTTCCTCCTGAGTAATGTAGGTCCTGCTTGGCAATTTCTTCCAAAACAGGCCTGTTTCATCGCAATTAAACACTTGTTCAGGTTTCAAGTCTTCACTGTCTATGTAATCCTTGAATTCCTTCACATATTTTTCAGCTGCTTTTTGGTCCGAACTGGCAGCCTCACCATGCCTATTCACACTATGTATGCCACTACGATTCTTAAATCTTTCAAACCAACCTTTGCTGGCCTTAAATTCAATCACATCACCACTAGTTGCAGACAATTTCTTTACCAAATTGTCATGCAACTTCCTAGCCTTTTCACAAATGATCGCTTGAGAGATGCTATCTCCTGCTATCTGTTTTTCATTTATCCACACCAATAACAGTCTCTCAACATTTTCTAACACTTGCGGTCGCTGTTTCGTAATCACAGTTGCACCTTTTGCAAGAACAGCTTCCTTGATTGCCGTTTTCCTGGTCACTATAGTAGAAATGGTCGATTGGGGTTTTGTATACAACTTGGCCAGCTCCGACACGCGCACTCCACTTTCGTACTTTGCAGTTATCTCCTTCATTTCAATAGTCATTAGCACCCTTGGTCTTGAAGGTTTGACACTAGAAGCTTTCTTGGGGCCCATGGTGACTTATTTTGCAGAAACAAGCACCAAAAACACTGTGATAATATGGAATGTACCAAATGTGTCCTTAGATGCGAGCACACTGGCTGGCTTGTAAACACTGGCACACATGGGGCAGTTCAGGCCACACATGGACACATCTCAGACGAATCGCGTATACCGGGTTTTGTAACGGGAACCGAGGCAAAATTTTTGCGATACAATGCATTGAATACCGGATTTATCAGATACCAATGGCATCGCGAACCGGGGGTCCACTGTAATAATAATTTTTCATATTTTTGTGCCAAATGCTTCAAAATAGAAATTGGTAACCCTCTGGGTGGCTGTAGTACAGCTGCTATGACCACGGCTATCTCAGCGCCAACCAAGAGTCAAAAGGAAGTGGAGGTATGCTGCTCTGAGTGATCGCAGCAGACCCATGGGATGCGTAATTTTGTCTTATATGGTACACAATGCCTCGCCCAAAGAGACAGTATATGCATACAATCAGCAAGAAGCGATTAGAAACCATAAAAAAAGCTAGAGAAGCGAAGAAGACAGCAGCATAGAGTGAGGCAGCTGGCCGCCGCCACCACCACCACCACTGTGGCTGCAGCTGCCATTACCACCACCATCTCTGTGGCCACAGTGATCATGTCTTCACCTATATATACATCTGTCTTGCCCACACCTGTGGTTACATATGTGACAACCTCACCACTAAATCATAGATAAACACAAGCTAGGTGTGGGGTTATGAACTGGGAAGATACTAGAGTGGGAGAGTAAATGGTGGATGCTTTCTGCCACTGCCGGTGTTGCCATTACCCTACCTGAAAACTCTAGAACTGTAGACACATTCATCACCTTCAAAACTACCATTAGAAAACATCTTATCTCCCTGATACACCCCGTCAACTAACTACATAAAAAACACCTGGTGGTTCACACTTACACTCACTCACTTACCCATTTGACTATAAACACAGAAATATGAATCTTAATCTTAAAATAATGATTCCTAACTAGTCGTAAGTTTGCCTGTGATACTCCAATATAGAAACTTTGTATTGTGCCAAAACAAAAGCATTCACATTGCTAAACTCACAAACTAGTATTTAGTCACTTAGTATTTAGTCAACTTACTCCTTAATTTATAATAATTTAAGGTTAAGAATTAATCTAAGTTTGCCCGAAATGCCTAGCCATGCTAGGTGTCTTAGTGGCCCCCTCTGTAATTAGTATTTTATTACATATAAACCACACAATAACCAAAATCTGTACACCCTGCATTGTAATCCTTATAGAGAATAAACTTGATTGATTGATTGATATTATGGCCTATTTTATTCATTCTAGAGTATATATCATGTTTCTGTGTTATTAATATTTTTTATTATGTCATATTAGATGAATTGTGATGGATAACTAAGACGTAGAGTTGATATTAGCATTATTTCGTCATGCCTCCTGAGAGGCTGGAATGAATTAATTGCATTTCAATTAATTTAAATGAGGAAAATTGACTTGGCATACGAACTACTCAGGATACAAACAAGATCACGGAATGGATTAAATTCGTAAGCCAAGGTTCCACTGTATATGGAAAAAAAGGAATTTGTTATGGGAAGTAAAAAAGGAGAATGCAAGAAGAATATTTTAGCACTTGAGCTTTGTATGAGCTTGAGGCATGATCGTGAAGTGTTGCAGCAAGGAGGATGCTGAATCCCATGAGATCATTGTGTGCTATGACTATTACTCTGCGAATAAGGAGTGAAGAAATTAGAAGATGACTTGGTGGCATGAAAGGCATAATTCAGGGAGAGAAAGAGGGGTTGTTGAGATGTTCCAGATATGTAGAAAGGATGGCACATGATAGATTGATAGAGTGTGTAAATCTGGGGTGGATAGCATACAGATAATGTACAAGGAAGAGCTGGAAGGAGGCATGAATGACATTATACATGAAGGGGCTTGAGCATCCATCAAGCATTTGTTAACTAAATGTAAAAACATTTATTTTAAATTCTATAACAAACCTGCTTCACATTATTTTATTAATACAACAGGCCCTTCTGTTTTCTGTAAATGGGTCAGGGGTAGCTGACTCTGCTTTTTTCATTAGTTGGAGGTTTTTAATTAACAGAATTTTGAGTAAAATAAATATTATTTTTTTTTTTTTTAATTTGTCTTAAGATCATTGAGCTTTGTCTTTTGTGTCTTTTGTGACTTAGCCTAACTCTTGATATCCTATTACATTGCTTGTTTTTTTTTTTTTTTTATCACACTGGCCGATTCCCACCAAGGCAGGGTGGCCCTAAAAAGAAAAACTTTCACCATCATTCACTCCATCACTGTCTTGCCAGAAGGGTGCTTTACACTACAGTTTTTAAACTGCAACATTAACACCCCTCCTTCAGAGTGCAGGCACTGTACTTCCCATCTCCAGGACTCAAGTCCAGCCTGCCGGTTTCCCTGAACCCCTTCATAAATGTTACTTTGCTCACACTCCAACAGCACGTCAAGTATTAAAAACCATTTGTCTCCATTCACTCCTATCAAACACGCTCACGCATTGCTTGTTATTTTTATTTTATTCTTATGTTTTGTTTTGTTATTGCAAGTACTATTTAAAGAAACATTTGATATTATACTTGTTCTTTTGTTTTCTTATACTCCATAGTTCATCTGTGAAGCAATGATGGGATCTGAGGTAAAAGGTCTCAGTCAGTATGTACCATGAGTTACAATAAACCCTTGGTATACCCATGGCACAGCGAGTAAGATTAGAAACCAAGTGAGTGCCAGAATACAGAAAGGATGCACTAAGGGTGTATTGTGCATCACTTGTCTGCCCAACATTAGTGTCATGTATCCTACCAGTATTAAAGGCCATAAAAAGTGCTTTGTAGTTCACATTGTAAGTCCTTCAGAACATAAGTAATGTTCCATTAACCTCCTTGTATCCACTTTTGTTTTTAGCTTTTATATCAAGAGAGTAACCCAGGAATCACCTATGAGTACAGCGTTCCAAAGGAGGTAACCCAGGCTGAAGCAGAAATATATGACTGGATTTTTGGAACATATGGGGAATGTTCTGTAGAGTGTGGTGGTGGTGAGTATTGTCTTAAATTTTTATACAAGTCCCTGCAAAACCAGTCAATCACAGGTACTTGTACTTGTTTAAATGAATGACTTGGATTTTCATAATATTGTTCTCTATTGCTGTCATTATTACTTGTCTGTTTCAAGGTAGACTAAAGCTTTGCATCTGTTTATAAATCTTGGGATCAATACTGCAAATTAACTCCTTGAACATTTTACTTTAAAGGTCTGTCCATTCATCAGTGTCCTCAGTGAACCTCCTAATTATCTTCTTTGTCCTTTTTTCTTGTTTGCTAATCTTATTATTTGCCTTAACCATCCTAATTAAATGCTTCCCCAGCCCAGGTATCTCGACATACTCACAGCTCCACACTTTCCTCCCGTCCTAGAATAAAAATTCTCTACTATCTCAGACAAAGGGGATGGATGCTTGTAGGCTAGTACGTACATACATCAGAGTAGGCACAAATAGTTAATTGCAGGCAAAGAAGAATGTGTACATATTGCAACTTCTTTTAAGGGAAGTAATATATGTTAATATATGTAATATATGTTAAAAAATTGATAAATTATCACGATATCATTTTGATAATGCACTGTAAACCTAATATAATTGCAATACTGTAGTACATTATTATATTTGGTTATTTTAGGTCATATGACAAGAAATGTGAGTTGTGCCAGAACCAGTGATTTCCAGCCTGTTGCTGAGTACCTGTGTGATCCACGACTTGAGCCAGAATCTAACAAGACATGTAACGAACATCCATGCCAAGCAATGTAAGTACATTATGTTAATGCATGTCTGTAGGCATTAGCTTAAGTGTTTGCTATAATGTTAAAGATGCGCGGAGAAGGATTTGTATGGGTTTTCAATTTTTGAAATTAAAAAACACGTTTTCTGAGATTCAGAAAGCCTTTGAAAAATAATTTTCTCTGGTATTTGATCAAACAACAGTTCTGATGTCATAAACCAAAGTTTCAAAAAATTTAGTCCTAGGAAAGGATGGAGGGAGGGGGTAAAAGAGGTTTTGTGTGCAAGGGGCTTGGACATGCAGCAGGCATGTGTGAGCATATTAGATAGGAGTGAATGGGGATGAATGGTTTTTGGGACCTGATGAGCTGCTGGAGTGTGAGCAGGGTAATATTTTGTGAAGGGATTCTGGGAAACCTGTTCACCAGACTTGAATCCTGGAGGTGGGAAGTACAATGCCTGCACTTTAAAGGAGGGGTTTGGGATATTGGCTATTTGGAGTAACATCTAAACTGTTGTATCTGGGCACCTCTGCAAAGACAGTGATTATGTGTGAATGATGGTGAAAATGTTGAATGTTGGTGAAAGTGTTTCTTTCATTATTGGGTGACCCTGCCTCGGTGGGAAACAGTCGATGTATTAAAAAAAATGTATTACTTTATATTTATATTTTTATAGTTGGCAGGTTGAAGAATGGACACCTTGTACCAGTTCTTGTGGTATTCCTGGATGGCAGTTTCGTCATGTATACTGTGGCCAAAAATTTGCAGAAGGGCGATTGTCCATTGTGAATGATAATGTATGTGACGTTATCCGTGGACCAAAACCACAAACTGTACGGGAGTGTAACAAAGATTCTGTGTGTGCATCATGGCACATAGGAGAGTGGACACCAGTAAGTAACTCCTTCATGCATAGTCTTTACATTTTATAAAAAAAAAAAATCATCACACTGGTCATCCCACGAAGGTGAAGTGACTCGAAAAGAGGAAACATATTCACCATCATTCATTCACTCACTATCCTGTCAGAAGCATGTTCACATGGCCCTCTGAACTCCAACATCCCCACTCCTCCTTCAGAGGGCAGACACTTCCTATCTCCATGCCTTAAATCTGGCTAATCTGATCCTCTGAATCCCTTCATAAAATTTTACTTTGTTCACCCTCCTACAGCACATCAGGTCGAAAAAATCACTTGCTTCCACTTACTAGAATTTAGCACAAGTCTGTATGGTATTCAAGCCTCAATTTCTCGAAACCTTCATTACCACTCCTTCCTGCCCTTTCTGGAATGACCCCTACTTCTTCCCTCTATCCTAGTTTTATAAATGCTCTTAGCCATTCTATTTTGTTCCATCCTCTCTGAATGCCCAAACCACATCAACAATCCCTCCTCAGTCTTATGAATTATATATGGAAATTCCACACCTTTTAATCTTCATTCTCGAAATTCTCTGCTTAAAGTTAATTTGTAAAATAATTGTAGAGACCATGGTACTCCTGGAATCCCAGATCTATGATTAGCCAAACAACAATCACAACAGACTTACCCTGCCTGTGGAAGGCAAAAACAGGTATGTGCACCTAGGATTCAGTGCTGAAAATTCATCCAAGAAAATAGAGGGGTGGACTACATTCAAAGAGGTAGAAGAGGGACTTATGAAGTTATGTCCCAGCTTTTTTTTTTTTTTTTTAACAAGTCGGCCGTCTCCCACCGAGGCAGGGTGACCCAAAAAAGAAAGAAAATCTCCAAAAAGAAAATACTTTCATCATCATTCAACACTTTCACCTCACTCATACATAATCACTGTTTTTGCAGAGGTGCGGTCAGAACACAACAGTTTAGAAGCATGTACAACAGGGCCCCACTTATACAGTGGGTTAGGTTCCAGGCTGTCGCCGGAAAGCAGACATCGCCGGAAGGCAGAATGCCATTTTTTTCCATTTATAAATGCATATAAATGCCAGACAACAAGTTTACACTAAATTATATTAAGTTAGTAATAGAACCAGGCATTAAAAACACACAAAGTAAAATACATTCACAGTAAATTCATTAATTATCTTAAAGTATTTGTAATATTAATGTAGGGAGAGAGGTGAGTAGTTCTTATTTGTAGGAAGTCAGGTGCAGGTAGCCCAGGTGTAGGTAGCCCTGGCTCCCCATCTTATACTTAATATACGATATTTAAAACATCCCAGAGAGGTAAAATACACATACAGTACACTCATTATTTACCTTAAAATATGTGTAGTCTTAATATAGGAAGAGAGGTGAGTAGTATTTATTTGTAGGAAGTCAGTGAAGGTAGCCATTAGGTGTAGCCCAGGCGGGCTACACCTACCGGCTGCCTACACTGTGGCCCAGAGCCATATTATTAACATTGACATGCCTTGTTCACTGAATTTAATCATTTCTAACAACTACCTTTAGATGCCATCATAAACGAATGTAGAAGTAATAAATAATTCATGCCGAAAATTGTAAACAAAAGCTGAGTGAGGGAGTGGCTTGGCCAAACGCAGATTCATACACGTTTTCTCTGATGGTTGAGCAGAGAAAATGTAATGTTGTCCCTCCGCCCGGCTACCACACAGCTCCACAAGTATTATTATCAGAGCACATGTAAAATATGCAATAAATACCAGACAACAAGTTTACACTAACTTATATTAAGTTAGCAATAGAAATAAACATTAAAAACACAATAAAAGGTAAGATACACACAGAGTACACTTGTTACTTACCGTAAAATATTAATATTAATGTGTGAGAGGTGAGTGCTAGGGTGTTTATTGAATAAAATCAGAATGGCACACCATCATCCTCTAACTTGGCACTTAAAGCAAGAGGCTTACGACTTCTCTTTTTATCACAGCTAACCTTAGATGCCATTGTCAATGAGAGCCAACTAGTTAATGAGAGAGTAAACGAGAGAGAGAACGAGATACAGGGTTGAGACAATGTAAGAACACAAACTGAACAGGTAGTGGACGATCACTTGGTCAGGCGAAATAAATGCGTATTAATATGTATCTACTTTTAGTTCATTCACGTCCATTTGTAAGAGTTTGTAAAACATTTACCTCAATATTTTTTTTATTATAATAATAATTACCTCACAATACAAATACTCTTACATTGTGTACAAGTTGTACAAGTTAGTACAGAATAAACAGACAGCAACACACCATTTTTAGAGTGAATGAAGATAATAATAATAATAATAATAATAATAATAATAATAATAATAATAATAATAATAATAATAATAATAATAATATTCGAGCAAGGGGCTAGTAACCCCTTCTCCTGTATATATTACTAAATGCAAAAGGAGAAACTTTCATTTTTCCTTTTGGGCCACCCTGCCTTGGTGGGATACGGCCGGTGTGTTGAAAGAAAGAATAATATTATTATTATTTTTTTTATTATCACATTGGCCGATTTCCACCAAGGCAGGGTGACCCGAAAAAGAAAAACTTTCACCATCACTCACTCCATCACTGTCTTGCCAGAAGGGTGCTTTACACTACTGTTTTTAAACTGCAACATTAACACCCCTCCTTCAGAGTGCAGACACTGTACTTCCCATCTCCAGGACTCAAGTCCGGCCTGCCAGTTTCCCTGAACCCCTTCATAAATGTTACTTTGCTCACACTCCAACAGCACGTCAAGTATTAAAAACCATTTGTCTCCATTCACTCCTATCAAACACGCTCACGCATGCCTGCTGGAAGTCCAAGCCCCTCGCACACAAAACCTCCTTTACCCCCTCCCTCCAACCTTTCCTAGGGCGACCCCTACCCCGCCCTTCCTTCCACTACAGACTGATACACTCTTGAAGTCACTCTGTTTCGCTCCATTCTCTCTACATGTCCAAACCACCTCAACAACCCTTCCTCAGCCCTCTGGACAACAGTTTTGGTAATCCCGCACCTCCTCCTAACTTCCAAACTACGAATTCTCTGCATTATATTCACACCACACATTGCCCTCAGACATGACATCTCCACTGCCTCCAGCCTTCTCCTCGCTGCAACATTCATCACCCATGCTTCACACCCATATAAGAGCGTTGGTAAAACTATACTCTCATACATTCCCCTCTTTGCCTCCAAGGACAAAGTTCTTTGTCTCCACAGACTCCTAAGTGCACCACTCACCCTTTTCCCCTCATCAATTCTATGATTCACCTCATCTTTCATAGACCCATCCGCTGACACGTCCACTCCCAAATACTGAATACATTTACCTCCTCCATACTCTCTCCCTCCAATCTGATATCCAGTCTTTTCATCACCTAATCTTTTTGTTTTTCCTCATAACCTTACTCTTTCCTGTATTCACTTTTAATTTTCTTCTTTTGCACACCCTACCAAATTCATCCACCAATCTCTGCAACTTCTCTTCAGAATCTCCCAAGAGCACAGTGTCATCAGCAAAGAGCAACTGTGATAACTCCCACTTTATGTGTGATTCTTTATCTTTTAACTCCACGCCTCTTGCCAAGACCCTCACATTTACTTCTCTTACAACCCCATCTATAAATATATTAAACAACCATGGTGACATCACACATCCTTGTCTAAGGCCTACTTTTACTGGGAAATAATTTCCCTCTTTCCTACTTGCTCTAACTTGAGCCTCACTATCCTCGTAATAACTCTTCACTGCTTTCAGTAACCTACCTCCTACACCATACACCTGCAACATCTGCCACATTGCTCCCCTATCCACCCTGTCATACGCCTTTTCCAAATCCATAAATGCCACAAAGACCTCTTTAGCCTTATCTAAATACTGTTCACTTATATGTTTCACTGTAAACACCTGGTCCACACACCCCTTACCTTTCCTAAAGCCTCCTTGTTCATCTGCTATCCTGTTCTCCGTCTTACTCTTAATTTTTTCATTAATAACTCTACCATACACTTTACCAGGTATACTCAACAGACTTATCCCCCTATAATTTTTGCACTCTCTTTTGTCCCCTTTGCCTTTATACAAAGGAACTATGCACGCTCTCTGCCAATCCCTAGGTACCTTACCCTCTTCCATACATTTATTAAATAATTGCACCAACCACTCCAAAACTATATCCCCACCTGCTTTTAACATTTCTATCTTTATCCCATCAATCCCGGCTGCCTTACCCACTTTCATTCTACCTACTGCCTCACGAACTTCCCCCACACTCACAACTGGCTCTTCCTCACTTCTACAAGATGTTGTTCCTCCTTGCCCTATACACAAAATCACAGCTTCCCTATCTTCATCAACATTTAACAATTCCTCAAAATATTCCCTCCATCTTCCCAATACCTCTAACTCTCCATTTAATAACTCTCCTCTCCTATTTTTAACTGACAAATCCATTTGTTCTCTAGGCTTCCTTAACTTGTTAATCTCACTCCAAAACTTTTTCTTATTTTCAACAAAATTTGTTGATAACATCTCACCCACTCTCTCATTTGCTCTCTTTTTACATTGCTTCACCACTCTCTTAACCTCTCTCTTTTTCTCCATATATTCTTCCCTCCTTGCATCACTTCTACTTTGTAAAAACTTCTCATATGCTAACTTTTTCTCCCTTACAACTCTCTTTGCATCATCATTCCACCAATCGCTCCTCTTCCCTCCCGCACCCACTTATTAATATTAATATTAATATTAATATTAATATTAATATTAATATTATTAATAATAATAATAATAATAATAATTTTATTATTTATAATAAAAAGCACTAAACCCACAAGGGTCATGAATTGCTATATATAGAGTAAAGGCATAGGAAAAGAATATTTTTCTACAGGTATCCCCCAGTGTGACTAGAGAAAACGTAATTCTTCCGACACTACCTACACAGCCGCTTTGTAAACAAATATC